ACTACGACGACTACGGCTACGGCTACGGCTACGGCTACGACTACTACTACTGCTACTACCACTACTACTACTACTACTACTACTAGTACTACTACCACCACCACCTCCACGACGACTACTACTACTACTACTACGACTACTACGACGACTACTCCTGCTACTGCTACTGCTACTGCTACTGCTACTGCTACTGCTACTACTGCTACTACTACTCCTACTGCTACTGCTGCTGCTACTGCAACCGACGGCTGCGACCACGGCCAGACCAGCACCGCCGCCACCGCGACCGCCACCCCCACCACCCCCACCACCACCACCACCACCACCGCCGCCACCACCGCCACCACCCCCTCCACCCCCACCACCCCCACCACCACCAGCACCAGCACCAGCACCACCACCACCACCACCACCACCACCACCACTCCTACGACGCCTGCCATACGCCAATTTTTCTATTTTGTCAACTACAATGGGCGGGTGCCTAATCAGCAGCCTCATCAGCAAGAGCATTCGGCAGAACTGTGAAGAACGTGCCAGGAACCACAACTGGTTGCGCATTTCGCGCGTTCTTCATTGCCTCGGAATGATTGGCAAGAAGGCTGGGAATCATGGATGGGAAGTCGTAGTTTTTGAGCTCAGTGGGAGTGTGAAAGAAGGCCGAGCAGCAAGCGTTGATGAAGTGTTTGGAGGGCATGAAAGCCGGGAGCTCGGCCGCGGCAATTTTCAGACGTTCACGTTCCCTGAGATGAGTCACGTGGAGTTGCAATCCCGACAGGCAGATTATCCGGAGGTGATGAGCGTGGCGAACTCGGGAACTGCACAGCTTAAGGACCTGGGTCGAGGCAATCCTCTCTAGACACCGTGTGAGATCCTCAACATTTAAGTGTGAAGGCTGCTGAGCATATTGCCAAAAAATATCGTACATGCCTCTACTACTTCTATGGAGCTTGAGGTCAGAGGGCTGGGGATGCCAAATAAGAGCACATCGTCTCATCGTGAGGCCATGCCCCATTGGAGACGTCGGGCCGAAGTCGGCTGAGCTCTAGCCACCCGTGCAGAAGGCCTGTCTCACCTGGGCAGTTCATTCCAAATGCATTGTTCAAAACATGCTAAGAAACTGGCAGCGTTCTGACCCAAGTGGCGCTTGAGAAGTGTCGAGGAAAAGGCTGCATTCGTTGAATCCGTGCGCGCAGACACAGTAGGATTTTCAGGACGAGGCGAATCGTATTCTCTCTCTGGACCGGTATCAGAGAGGCCTCTGGTTCATGGCCACATGAGATCACCAGAGCAAGCCGACGATCCTTCACGGTATGAGTCGGAGACCCTGCGGTTAGCTGCGCTCCCGGAGAACCGTAGATCTGCCACGTTGTCAGACAGAAGACGCCACAGGCTGAATGCGAGGAGACAGCAGACAAACTGTCAAGACGCTCCATAGTTTGTGCATGCAGCAGCATGCTTAATACCATAACCAATTTCGAGCGCAGCTGTAATAAGTGCAAATCTTCTCGGACATGATTCCGGCACAGCGGATGGCGATGCTGAGCCGCACGCAGCACCATGCAGGCGTCGATCTGCCATGTCTGCTCTCGGTCATCAACTGTCGTAAACCCCGCGTGGTGTGGTAAACGTTGTAAACGTGATATGGGATCTCGGAACTGATTCGCACTGCAAACGGGAGAAGCATGGGAAATACTCCGAAGCCCACCTTCCCACCTGCCTGTCAATTTGTCAGGAGCAGCTGTACGGCACAGGAAATTCGTGGCACGCCGAGATTCTGTGTAGATTGGCAAGGTAGTTACGGCATTAAGAGACCCTGTGTTCCATGTTTCGTGCCGTCATGCAGCCGTCACCACGTTGGCATTTTAGCATTTGCGTTCAGTCACCACCATGTGTCAGGGTGTGTTTCTACCGCCCCAAGGCTTTCCGCGACGACCAGCCGGAGATGTACTTCAGAGTAAAAGGTGAAGGACCGCACGTTGTTGCGGCATAGGTGTGTACGCATTTCCAACTCGCATGCTTCTGATGTGCAGCTGCAGGAGTCAACATGGCAAAGTTGGCAGGAGGGGTATTTCTGCGAACAGAGCGAAGGACTTGGGTTGCTGTCTATCTGTCCGGAGTCCATCCGCTATTGCTTGCAATGGTATTTTGGGATAGTCACAGTCTTTGAATCGGAGAGATGTTGCAGGCAGGACACTTTTCTGGAAGGCATGGGCCCAAAGAGCATCGACAATTGTCTGAAGGCCACGCGCCTGCAGTTCGCCTTGAAAAATGAAACTTCTTGAACCGCTTAGAGATTTCAATTGTTGAAATTATATTCAAACTGAGATAATAAAGGAATGACTGTCAGCCCAGCAGCGCCAGGGCTGCGAGGCGTGAAGGTGTTTTGGCTGCCGAGGGGATTAGGCTGTTTATGCATGCAGGGGCTTACGACACCGGGGTCGCAGGGAGACGACGTTCATCAATCCTTCTATGTGCAGGCGTAGCTTTGGAATTTTCATTTGACTGAACAGTCAGGAGAAATAACAGCAGTAGAGCTGTGCGGAGACATTCTGATGCTCAGTGCCAGAGCTTGGAGGCATAGGGTGGTCTGAGTTGTGCAGAAGCGAACGAGACACACGCTCAGACTCGCATGTGTATAGATGATATCAGTATGATGGATATATGTTGCAAACCTGCAGCAGTATGCATGTAGACAAAGAGGTGCAAACCAAGTCACAGGGGTCAAGCGGCAAACTCCAAGGCTGTGGTGCTCGTGAACAAATTCGCACAAGAGAAGCGGAAAGAAGAGAGCACCGGCGAGGTGCATCGGCAGCCATGGGGGCTTCTGAGACAACCTGCCGTGGTCAGGGCTCGTGCAGCTGAAGTTTCGGGCAGTCCTGGGGCGACTCGATGGACCGTAAACAGAAACCTGTCGATGCAGAACATCCCGCGCTCGCATAAAATATAGGTTCACGGTGGAGCACTGAACCGTGCTGCCAACACAGTCGACACCATGCCATCGATTCACCGATAGCGGCAACTCCGAACCAATTGAGCCTTCATCTTGCTAAGTCACGGTCATGGCTGGACTTCAGAACGAGCCGTCCTTCAGCACTACTCAGCTTGGTAGAATTTAGGTCTTCTGAGCCACTTCACACTTAAGCTAAAGCGGCCTTCAACACGCCGTTCTAAGCCCTGACCTGGCAAAATGATAATTGTATTGGAGGTGCCATGGTTTCATCGAGTCGGGTTTGTCCCCCAACTGCGCAAGCTGGCCGCTCAGAGTTTGAACTTCGGGGAGCAACGACAAGATCGACTTGTCTGCCAAGACCAGGACGGGCACCTCATATTGGCTTAGCATGAAGGTCGTTGGTATAAAGGGGTCGGGACCTTAACAAAGGCTCCACACGCGTGATCTTCCGCGGTTGTTGGGGCCATGATTCGGGAGGCCGTACACTCCTTACGACGCTCCGGAGCAGGAGCGACTACGAGCTTGAGTCACAGAGATGCAGCAATCTCGCACCTCCAGAAAGCACACCGGTAAAGCTTGAGTTGTCCGAGGTGGGACAAGAGACGAAAATCGACCAGCTTACTGGCGCAGTTAGGACCTGTTGGACACGCAGGCATCGCTCTTCCCATGTTGCCGCTCGCAGATGCGCTCGTATGCGTTTGGGAGCTTTTGTACCAATTCAGCACCTTGTTGAGGTGCGCTGGAGAGAGGTCGGAGCCGTTGGTGTGCGCCATGGGCCCACGAAGTGTGAGCCTGGCAGCCACAGCCACAGCTCGTACACTCTTTAGGTAGCCTTTTCTGTCATTGCAGCCGCAGACGAAGCGCAGACTTGTCTTCGGTGCACAGGTCAAGAGCATGGCCCGATGCCTCAAGGAAATGAACGAGCCAGCATCTGAAATCCGTAGAATGATCGAGGTTAAGTTGAAGTGGAGTTGCACGTGTTTGATTGCCCAGGCGCAAAGGTGTCCTGCGGCTCTTCTTGTGTCATCCTGACATGATAGAGGCAGTTCGCACCATGGAATACGCTGTGCATGCGAGTTATGTTTGATTTCTGCAGGAAGTGCTTCCTGAAAACGGAAACAGTGTGGTAATGACCCATATGAGTGCAGCCCTTAGTGTGATTGAAGCATGGAGTGCGGACTGAAAGTGACAGAGAATCCGCGAATCTTGAGTAAATCGTCACGACCGCCCTGTCACCTGAAACGAGGGTTGGAGCCTCGTCCGCGTGAGACTGAGTAAGCAAAGACTTGCAGCAGCTTCGCCATCTACGGTCACGAAAACAGAGAGAAAGGCCTCAGATCGACAGCAGCTCACTTTACAGACCTTTGCCTCAAACAACAACAAACCACAGGAGTCCACTCAACTTCCGCATGTCCCGACGTCATTTAGCAAGTTCATGCGCGATCGCATCCTGAGTGTTCCCTGGCACTTCCTTAACCGAGCTTCGATCTATGCTGTATGCACTGAAACTGTAGACGTAGCAGGTATTGCAGCAGCCCTGTGCATCCGCTTGCCTGGTGGAGCAGCGCACAAAGCAATGTAAGAGGGGTTTAACAAACCTGTTTGAGTTCTGGAGAGGCACAGGATCCAGGACCAGTCGTCTCCAACACCGCATTCTATCCATTTCACCCTGTTGGCTCCGTCACAAGGCATTTGACATACGAGCTTGAACATAAATTTGATCTTGCCGAACGGTCTGGTACTACAAAGTGCGGGTTGGGGTTCGCAAAATATGAAATTGCAGGTCTCTAGCTGCTGCTAACATCTGCGCGTGATTCGTTGCACCGGCTTTGCCTTTCATAAACACCGATGGCTGCCCTGCGTTCAATCGCCCCTTCAGCGCCTCGGGCTAAGTCTCAAAGAACCTCTCTGCTTTTCTAGCCTGAGTGCTCCAAGCATCGGCCTCACTGCTCTCACATCCATGCAAAGGTACCGAAGAGATGCCCTCGCAGACGCCATCAAGAGCAAGCAAACGAGGTGAAGATCGCGAATGCTTCTTTTTCCCTCCTTTCCGCGCAACACGCGATGATTTGCAGGCCTTCTTCCATCGGCCCTTGTGCCCGCTCTTCGGCGCATTCCGGCACGGTCCTTGCACGTACCTGTCGACCCAAAGGTTCATCTGAGGCTGGTCAGTAGCTGTTCGCCCAGGTGAGCGACGCAGGCCAGCCTTACAAATGTTCAAAGGTGATTGATGACTTCTGTAATTTTGGCAGGTCAGCAGCAAAAGCATTCCTTCAGAGCATGATCGACTCGTGCACCGTCAAGGAGAGCAGCGTCTTTATCCAGACGAAGCGTGGCAATGAAAGCATTTGCCCCTATGCGGTTTTCTGGAGGTTGACGCTTACATCGACCCACCACAGCTGCTAAGCTTGGTGGCTCATATCAGCGACATGACACATCAAGAAGCTCCCATCCCTCGGCAAGCAAGAATCTCTGCATAACCTTGCCGTGCTCTGCCTTGGTTGGGTTCATGCTGTGCACCCCGTGAGAACTGCCTCGCAGACCAAATGAATGGGATTTCAGTCCGTAGCAGATGAGCAGGACAGTCGGGTGGTTGACTTCGACGACATTGGCCCTGGCCTCAATGAGAACGGTTAGGTGACCTGGCCCAAACCATCTGCATGGAATGCTGAAAGCCTGGCAGAAGAACAATGCGGCAAAGCACCAGAGAACTCCAAGCATGGTGGTGTTGAGACTAAAGCTACCGCTGGTAGCTTATGGCTAATGTCGCGCCTTTCTGATAGCCGAGTCAATCGCCGAGGACCGCCAGCTCAAAGCTGTGGCTCGTCCTTGGCTCAATGAGCTGTGCAATACCAGAGGGGCCTGATGGCTTGAAACCGAGCTTTGAGGCAGGAGGGTCCCCAGTAAATGGAACCAGGTCAGACTGGGGTGGCTCTCGCTGCGGCACCTCTTCCCCGAAGTTGGGATCCAAGTTACTGCCATGCCATACACAAGACACGTCGAGCCCATTCCGGGTTCAAGTTGCCAGATGTGGTATGACCTCAAGTTACGGTTGTTTAACTAGCTATGAATGCCTCGTACCGAAGCATGAGGGCAGTGTGTGTCAGCTACTTAGTTCTGTGATGCGGGTTATACCTCGAAAGGGTATCACTAAACATTGAAAGTGTGACCGGGATTTGTCGCCACTGCAGAAAAAATGTTAAGATGCCGTTGTTGCACTGCTTTGACATTGCCTCGTTTGCAGTTCTGCTAACACTCAACCACCTAGCTGGTGGTGCTAGGGGTGGTCGGCGGGACTTAGGAACGGTAGCTAGTCTACGCTTCACGTTGTAAGATGAACGACCTGCGCCTCTCCAGGCCCTCCTACCCGATGACAGAGAGCATGAAGGCACGGTCCGTGCGATGTGATTGCATTTCTATGGGGAGTGAAGATGGAACACTGTGACTCTTGTGAGTCTCTGGTGCATATAGATGTGGATATTTTCTTGTACGTTTGTAGTAACTACAAACTGTTTGTAACATCTATAGTCATAGTCATAGTCATACTCTATGTATACACACATATACCTCTACAAAGTCACATATGCACTCGTTTGTTTATACAGAAACGCCTCGTGGCCTAGTCGCTGGCTTTGGAATGCCAACCCAGCAGCTTTCGACAGGTTGGCTTCTTCCTGGGAAATGAGGCATTCCCCACGAAGGTCTATAACAGGAGGCTCGTGTCTGTGAGGGCTTGGAGAAAATTCCGCTTGTTTCTGCTGTCAGGTCCATATGCCGCAGCGCATTCTGGAGCAAAAGTGGGCTGAAGGATGCTTGCTTCTCCCGATGAAGCACGCGCAAATTGAGTTGTCTGGTCTCAGTTTTCGATGTTCCTGGCGCCTTGGGCTCTGGATACGCATGTAAAGATCAGCGATTCAGCGAGAGAACTAGGGGAAATTACGCCAAGCATCTGATCAGTGCTACACCCAGTGCCGAAGGATTGAGCCTGGAACTGGCTTAGGCACCAGGACCCCATCAGGAAACCTGATTGCGGAGATGGAGTTGGCCGGAGAATGCCGGACAACGATATGTGCTGGGGCGAAGGCCTTGTGCACGGTAGATGCACCCATGCGGCACTGTCGGAGGACGGAGACTGGCGAAATGAGGGTAAGCTGGACGATGCAGACTCAATGCAGACCATAGCATCCTGACGAACAATCGCCAAAGGGCTCTAGATGCTTCCAAGTGAACCCGGGTGGGGTCCGCGTGGGTACATCCTCCTTTGGTCGGAAAGGGGGCATCTTCTGGAGGCGCTCTGTCCTCGATGTTTTCAACTGTATCACCTGCGGGTCGTATGCGAATGTGTGTTGCGACTCGTCGTGCGTGATAACAGATTTTCCAGCTGCTCTTGCTCCCGGTGAGAGCAGCTACTTTAGCTTCTGAAACAGGTACTGGTAGGGTTCCTCTCGGACCCTGACGGCGCAGAAGCGCAGTTCCAGCTCTCTCGGCTGTTTGTGATGTCACGTCGCCTCGGCGGCAGATAGTTTCGTGACGTTGCAGGCCCGTTTCAAGTTCTCAAGTTCCACTGCAAGCGTTCCATCCTCTCTGAGCGCGGTCTCAAGGCTCGAAAAGTTGTGTGCTGTGTGCCCACGGACATGACGTCGTGAGATGCCTCATGCCTGGAATCCACAACGAGCTGTTCCATGTCCGGAGACCCGCAGCGTTGTCCTAACGTGTTGAGACCATGGGGAGGTGTGCTCAGCATGAGTGCCACGCAGATTGCATCTCTGTCCGAAGCAATCAGCGACCGAAAGTACAAAGCACCATCGAAATGAACCTACCGTCAAGTTCGCTTTTGAGCTTCTGCAGCAAAACTCGCATGACAGCAGAACCATTTCACGCATCTACAGACAATCAAGCAGAGGGACTTGAGTTGGAGGAAGAACTCAGCTTCATGACTTTCCCGGCAATCCGACTTCCGCCCGGCGCCGTCAGAGAGTCTCGACCTTGGCAATAGTTGAGTGTCGGGAGTTTGGTGCTGAAGGTCCAAGACTTCCTCTGGCAACTCGGCTGAGGCGAAACAAGCTTGCAACCGGCAAAGATCCGGAGGCCAAGCACGTCTTGTGAGCTGGTGCAGCGTTTTGGATGCGAAGCTCGCCTTGTCGCCGTCAGGGATGCAAGCGACCCCTTAGCAGCTCGACTTGATTCAGAATTCCATCTGGGAAGTCATGAATCGGATGATAACCAATAAGATGCCAGCAATTCTGGCCCTGGCTAGGGCCGCTAGGATACTGTGCCTGCCTTGCCGACGAGTCGTGCTGCGGACGGTTTCTATACCATCACGGTGAATGAGGATGAAGCCCGGGCAGGAAGATACCATCCCGACTCTTCCCAAGATGATATTTAACAAACGCCAGCAGCAACAGACCTTGCTGTAGGAACCAAGGCTGGAGAACTATGAGAGATGAGTGTAAGAATGACACGTCAAAGCCGCCAACAAAATTCAGACAGAAGAAGCTTGGAGAAGGCTGTTGAGGACCCCAAGCTCCAATTAGACCCTAAGATTAAGCGGTAGCACCCCGAACCCAGAACCCCAAGTTCTTTAACTCCAAAGCCGTAGACCTGAACCCTGGCCTTGAAGCCGAAAGTGCGCTTTAGGGTGGCTCGCGCATTGCTCAGGCACCCCCTCCCCCCACCCACGCCTGCCCCGTACCTTGCCGGTCCCCCCCCGTCTCACCCCGTCACCACTCTAGATATTACAACTAATAGTATTGGTAATCGGGATTGTTATTGGTGGTACTCGTGCTGTAGTATAGCAGTAATACTAGTGACCGCAGGGTAATGATGGTGATAATCGTAATAGTAGTTATCGTATTTAATCACAATAAGAGCAATACGAGTTGTAATAATGGTAGTCGTCGTCGACGTCGTAGTAGTAGTAGTAGTAGTAGTCGTAGTAGTAGTAGTAGTAGTAGTAATAATAATAATATGGTAGCGATAATCGTGATCTTATAGGGCTAGTGGTAGGGATGTGCATGGTGGGTGGGTGCGGCGTTGTTAGGGCTGTTAGGGAGGGGGGCCTTGCATGCGTTTGAGCGGGTTTTGGCGCACTCTCCGAAAGCACGAAAACACCAAAGCAACATCTTGAATCTTAACTCTACTGGACCTTTTAAACCCGAAACCCAACTGAGATCATCCACCTTCCCCCTTTTCTCTGCTACTCCCAGGATTCGAGGCAGCCTCGGCTGCAAAGCAGCACCCCTTCAAGGAGCTCTGGCCTCAGCACTTGTCGTGTCGTGGCGTGAGCAACTACAGATGACACAATACATACATATTTACAGTACATAAACATGTAAATACATATATATATATGTATATACATATATATGTATATATATATATGTATATATATATGTATATACATATATATATATAAATACACACACATATATACATACACATGTATATACATAACGCCTAGGATTTAGGATAAATGCATGTGTACGTATAAAAACTACTATGTATACAGACATGCTATGCATGCATGTATGTGTATATATATATACATATGTATATATGGTGTATATATGCATACATGTGCAGTGCGTCTACGTCCGTCTGTCCGTCTGTCTGTCTAGTATGTATATATATATATATGGTATGTATTGTACTCTTTTTGTATACTGTGCTCTCCCTCAACATGCAGTGTTGACAAATTTCGCCAGAACAAATAATACGAAACACACACCTCTGTTGTAAGATGTTCGTTGCAATTGATGGATGAAGCACGGAAAGCCTTCTGCATTGCAGCCCAAGATTACAGCACCCCGCACATAATACCGTGTGAGACACAGCCTTTCATTTTATGTGGTGCAGGCTCCTCGAGCTCGGGGCTCTAAACAACAAGTTGAGACCCATGGCACTCTGGTCTAAGACTGAAGCCCTACTCGGGCGAGCAAGTGCACCTCAAGCTCAAGCCGGCTAGTTTGGTTCTATGCAGTGCCCTTTTCCTTCAACCATGGCACTCCCACGATGAAACCGATGAGAAGTGCACCCCAAAAAGAGAAAACCACTCTGCCAACCGGTTCGGCCCCATGCTTGGTTTGGGATTTCGTAGCCACGAAACCCTTAAGCCATTAATCCAGTAAGCCATTGTTCCAAAGTCGTTGACCAGTGTTTCTGATTCGTGAACACAACCAGTAAAGCATCAATCCACTACAGTCATTCCATCGATTGCTTTGGTATGTTGTGGGCCCCAATCCACGAATCCAGTAATCCAGCAAGCCACTCGCCCAATCGAATTAGCCAAGTGATTGGCTTGGACCCATATCGGTCGTATGGTGAGAAACTCTTGAATGGTTGTCTGGGGGGAGCTGACCAGTGCCAGGAGGCATTGATTGAATGATGGGGCCATAAAAAACATATCCTCAATACTGCCACTAAAGCATTGTGTGTTCGTGGTGTACTGTAGCACCGTGGCTGCTTTTCATGAACAGCGCATGTGGATTGTTACATCGTTTGAGACCGCCTCTCCTGGACTGGGAAGCCGGCTTTTGGTTTGATTCAGCTTTGGTTCAGATTTAAAGCAACCCTGTGACTGTCCAAGATTCAACTCAGGGTTCCCTAAAAGCCTTGGATGCCACGTGGGCTTGGATTCAAACTTGAATCCAACCTGCACTAAATCAGCCAGTTGTGAGTTCTGCAACTTCAACCAGAATAGCTGAGTGTTAGACCTACACAAAGAAAATACCTTTATGCCTGCGTCCCCTTGAATGGGGCCTAAACTTGGAACCCTGCAAAATGCAGACCCCAGGGCAGTCCCTTCAATTTTGTGTTTGGCGTGGGTGTGTGTGTGTGCGTCTGGTAGATTTTTCATCAGTGTGTGTCAGCAAGAGGGGTGCGGCTCTCTGATGCTAGCTACCACACCCAACGAAGCTATGCATCAGCTAGGGAAGCCAAGCCTGATCAGCTTGGTGTACTTGCTTGTACAGACATCAATGTCGTAGAGTGACAGTGCAAGAATGTGGGTTTCCGAGGCGTGTAGTCATTAAAGACGGACTTAGTACTCGGAGCGGAGACCTGCACAAGTGTGCTCCAGACTCCATTCGTTTATCGCGCTGTCTGCTCCGGGTGGCCCGGACTAAGTATGGTTATGGCAATGACCGATATCGTTCCCTGATCGGAACAACCTGACCAAAGCCACTTTCTCTTGCATTAGTGTGTACCGCAGCAGGATCCAAGTCTGTAGACAAGCCATCGGTAATGCAGCGTGTTTGTCATCGACCTCCATCCGAGAGTTGCGATTGATTTTGCGGTGTTGTGGATTGCATTGAACAACCAGTTTGCTTGAGCTATAGCTTTGCACTACCTGCATTCTTCAGTGTATCTGCTTGAAGCGTAGCCATGTGGGGTTCAGATTCAAGACAAACCATCAGTCATGTGACGTGTTTTGGGTTGACCTCCATCCAAGACTTGCGGTCGCGACTGTCGTTTGTGTTTTGAAGCGTGTCTGACCCCGCTGACAGAAGTGATGGAAGAAAGTGGTTGTTGCTGTGTTTGCAAAACTGGTGGAGCTTGATTGGTTTGCCGTCGAAGGCTTGTGATGTTCTGGTTCTGAAGCGGCACGTACAAGTGTGAAGCATGTGCAGGAATTGTTGTTATTCTTCTTGAGACGGACGAAGAGGATGCTTTACATATTTACAGTTCGGCTGGACCTCCGGACTCCGGAGTCCGACTGTCTGCAAGGAGCCTTAATTGGTAGCTGGCCGTTGCCCTAAGTGATTGAATCCGTAGCAGAATGAGTGTTCGCACCATGTTTTGCAACCAAGAATTATACAGAATTCTGCCCGAGGAACATGTTCGTGTAATATCGTGCAACACGAAATACACGATAACGAATCGTCTACGAGCCATATAACTGTATTGTCATGTAAAACCACATGTTACAACAAGCTGTTGCTCAGGGCAGTACATCTCTCTGCAATGTACCAAGGATCAATCATTTGCAGTCGGCTGGAAAACGCTGCTATGCAATCTTGCTTTGGAATCTGGACTGAAGCTGCCAAGGCAGCAACAGTACATCTATGCAGATGCTGTCTGCTGCGCACAGAAGTGGTGCGGCTCTTACTTGTGTGCTTGTGGGGCTGGGAGCTGCTGGGAGGGCTTGGAAGCTTGCGTGTTTTGGGTACTTCCACCTCTCAGTAGCGCTTGCCGCTTGTCCTGATGGCAGGTTGGGCGTTTGTGATGGAGTTTCAGGTGTGCAAAAAATGGGCAGGAAGCTCAGCAACTTTTCAAAAACCGTGATGATGCTGGCCAGTAGACGCCGAGCTCCAAAAACCTTGGGCCTGTTCTTACAGAGCCAGATGCAGAACTAGAGTCTAGATGCACAGCACAGGTTTGGCAGCTTGTTGCAATCCTGACTACTAGTTGGCTCCCTGACATAGTGCAGCCATGTGCACTGTGCCTTCTGCTCATTGTCGTGGCTCATGCAGTGGCGTGGGATATCTGCTGAATACTTGTGGCATGCCAGGCATTGCCCCAGATTTGCTGCCGAGAGAACTTCTTGCCCAATGCCAGAAGGCAGCCTGCCACACTGCAAACTTGTGACGGCAACGTCTGCAACATCGTGTCATGCCTTGGGGTCGCTACAAGAAGCCACTTCCTGAGTACTGCGTTTGATGTATCGAACAAGAGTTTCGGTGCATGTTGCATCGGAGGTGATGAGCTCATCGCCGGATATGCACATGAACGGTGAGAACGGGTCCTGGGTCCTTTCAGTGTTGAAGGCGCCTTTGAACAGAGCTTTGTGTGATCGGATTCCGTCTTTTCAGCCGCGGTCATCCTCAGAAAAAAATAGGGCTAAATCCTGCAATGACGAGCATGTAACAGCAACCACCTCCCTGTTTCAGAAAGCCTTCGCGGGAACCTCCTCGCTTGGAGCTACCACCGTGCTCCTCGCCGGCATCGAGGACACTGGCCTGGCCTGCTATTGCGAGGACGCACAATCCTCTGGTGGGCCTGTTGCCGAAAGGACTGCCAGCGCTTGGCAGTAGTAACCCTGGGAGACTGCGCAATGATCTTGTTAAGGCACGGTCTGCCCAAAAAAAACTCGTGCTGCAGAGAACCTTCCATCCATTTTGCGTTGACGAGGCCAACAAGTGGGGACAACCTTCGAAGCACTTTCCGCTCACAGCGGGTCATGATGGGTGAAAAGACCCCCGCACAGGCACTGCACCGCTGCTCAAGCCCCTACCGGATCACCACAAAAGCAACAGGTGCTCCGGCTTCCTCACCAAGTTACGGGTGAACAGAAAGAGTTGGTGGAAGACTTTCGCTTGGATACAGTGCGCCTCCCGCTCTGAAATGTCAATGTGCGGCTGTAGCACCAAGCAGTCTGACCACAGAAGAATGCAGGTACAAATCAAGCACGGCGATGTGCTAGTGCTCGGGTCTGACGGCCTGTTCGACAATCTCAGTGACGAGGACGGCTGTGGGCAAATGAAAATAGCATTATAGGCATTCTGCCCGCGGCGAGAGTGGTGGTTCTGCATGCAGCTTTACGATACAAGTGCGGCGACGAAGTGCCAGTCTGCATTCGTATTGGTGTGTAGTGGTGGTTCAACTCACGCGAGATGAGCTGCTTGTTGCTGTCAGGCCATCACCAATATCGTGCAGCGCCACTGCTGGGGCCCTAACTCAAGAGTTGCCGCTGCCAGGAAGGCAACATGCAACAGTCGGTACCGCAACTGGGATACTGAAGTGTCGAAGTTGCAAGAAAAAACTGAAGAGCACGGTGGCTTCCTCCGGGCTGCTTTCCGAAGTAGTCCATACCCGTCATGTCCCCCTCTCCGGGAGCACCTTGCAAGCATCTGCATGGCTTTGCCTGACTGCGCGGACAGCTGGACTTGACTATATATAGCCAAGTCCAGCTGCCCGCTAGGGAGCCACCCAACCATTGACTAGCAGTTCCCGCTTTTTCTTATGCAGCCAGCGTATGTTGTCATCAACGCTCTGCACATTGCCAGCTGAGGCACGCAGTGCAGCTTCGACGAGCAAGGCCCCAGCCGAAGGTTACACAAGCAGTTGATGCTGCCGCAACTCTGTCCTAGACTTCAGGTCATGCGTCTGCGAGATCGCGGAGGCACGTGAGCCAAAAGGGACTGGGGATGGCTTCTGACCTGCGTACCGCCTTTTCGGGAGCAGGAATCACGAGATACTTTCCTCGCAGAACAACAGCGCTGGCGTTCTTGTGGATTCTGGTGTTTTTCTATTGTCTTGACTTTGGGATTTCTCGTGACCCATGCAGAAGGGGTGCTTCGCGGTGACATGCATGAATGACTGCTGGTCCACGTGCTCCCTGGACTGCAGTCGCCCGTTGGTCCAGCAGCTGCCGGTATTGTACAAAGGTCGTCCGGTTCCTTCTGTGCGGCTCTCAGCTTTCAGACTTCATCCCATTCGTCGCAACAGACTCATGATATTGAACAAAATTCGCAGGTGTTGCAGCTGCAGCAAGCCGCCGCCAGCTTGGTCGATGCCGCGATCCAGAATGCCGCCATGCTTCATTACAGGGATTTAAAAGCAAGAGATCAGAACAGAGTCCGGACTCGCGTTCTCTGCCCTCTGTGTGTGTGTGTGTTGGAAAGATATGCCGAGACTGCGGAGGCCTCTTTGTACTACGATGCTACAAGAGTCAAATGAAATCAGGGCCCATGTGAAAGCCAAGGTCATTCTCGTTGCAGACCAACCGGTGCTTCACTGAGATCAACATTGCAGTCCTGGATCCTGAGGGGGAAAGTTGGGAGTGACGCGCGCGAGGGTCCAGGTTTAGGAGTTCGGATTCACAAGTCGGTTGTCAGGGTTTATGGAAGGTTTACGAGTAACTCATGGCACCTGGGTCGGTGGGTCAGCCTTGCAGCTTTTCGAAGCTTCTCGGCTTGGCAGCTTCGGTCGAGTCTCAAGTCGATGCCCTCAGTCCCGACCCATGAATGCATTCGTAAGCGGTACGAATTGCAGAGTAAGCAAATCGAGAATGTTGCAGCTCATGTGGGACTCGAGGCAGCCATGCCGCTGGTGGCGCGAGGTAACCCAGACGACACTACTGCCATTGTTGCGGTAGTTGTCGAGGCTTGTCCGTTGCACGTAGTTGGTGATGCCGTCTCTTGACTGGCCCGCAGCGGTGCATGGTGGATTCGCGAGTTCCGAATGGATAGTGGCAGAACTTACTCGAGCAGAGAGCCTCTCTGCCGCAAGCAAGGATCTCCCACACGACTCAACTGCACTGCAGGAAGGCAGAAATACAGACAGCGACAGTGAGATCGAACTGCATGATGTTTATCCAGATGCCAGGACCTGAGGATGTCTCCGAGTGCAGATTTCTAGCCATAGTTATAGATGTTCTGAAGCAGGCTGAAGCGATGCTGAACAAGGCAGGGGGGCTCCTGGGCCTGGGCGGAGAGAGGGCCTGAGGGGCGCTGTGCCAGGTTGCCTGTCCAGATCAACGAGTCTGCAGCGCAGGACGCGCTGAGCGTCCGCAGGTTGTTGCCCTGTGCCAAATGCAGATTGCCGCGTCGTTGCCATCTGAAACCGATTGAAAGCAATGAAAGGAATTTGGCCTGTATGCTGTTATGCAGCAGCCATCGATCGCGACGACAACGAAGACTCAGAGGCAGAGGCAGAAAGTGGCTGAAAGCTCTTTGCAAGATGTTTCCTTGGCGCTGCCTGACTGAACCTCCCGCAGGTGTCGAGTGACCATCCGGACCTGCTTTTGCAAAACTCCCTAGCAGCGCTACTGCAGCGGCAATTCTTGGGCCATTTTTGATAACATAGATGCTGCAGTTTGGTTGACTGCCGTGATGCTCCCAGTGGCAGGACACCGAGCACGGGCAGGCCTGGTACTGCAGTTAGTGGACCCTCACTCCATTCGAGGCAGTAGCACGATTTGCCAATGTCCAATGCACAGTCTAAGAATCGGAGAATTTCTTGTTGGGCCGGGTAGGGTAGGATCATCTTGATCTTGCGATTGGCGGTTCTTCTTGTGTTTACTCGGGATTTGGGACTGTTCAAGAACCCCGAGACCAAACTGCTCCTCACCCGATGTCTGAATTTAAGCAAGTTGTTTACCACCAATGCAAAGTCGGCAGTTGAAGCCGGCGCATGCTGCCGGCTGCTTCACGACTGATCGAAGGTGCCATCTTGCTGCATAAGCTGATCTCAACGTGTCTGTTTCACCTCTCCGGACCTATCCAGACTCTGGATGCTCGCCAGCGGCGGCTCAGCGTGCCACAGCAAAGTCGTCACTGCACGATAATGTCACTGCAGCAGAGCACGCGGCTAGGCAAGCCGGCACCGGACATATGCAAATTTATCTACTGGCGGTTTAGGATTGTTTTCCTCCCTGCTAGGCATTGCTACGGATTACAGTAAATTGCAAGCTGGACTTGGGCCGTCGGCAGGGAGGACGGCAAGACCGCAGAGCGGTTTAGGTTCCTGTGCAGCGGCACTGAGTTTCAAGGCGCGAACACGTGCCTTTCAGGATTCGTTAGGTCTCACTGTGTGCAGAGAGCGAAAGAGCACTTTCCTGAAGCCAGGCCGGTCACGATACAACGCCGCCTGAGTGTGCTTCCAGCAACAACTTTTTTCCATGATAGCTCTTGGCTGCACATCAAGCCTGGTTTCATGTAGCAGCATAGCACCTGCGCTCAATGGAGACCGCCACAGAGACGAACCCCAACTGGCTCTACTTGCAGGAGGTGACCGCCAAGCTGCGCCAGACTGAGAAACAGGCCGAGACAATCAAGGCCATGACCGTGCACAGCGATCGATTTAGGCTTGCGCGGCTTCTCCCAGTAAGTCCGACGAGTCATAAGATCCACTGAACAGCTTGCCGCTGTGAGCTGTGAGGAAAATCTTCGACAGCTCAACAGCGCGTGGGCTGCCAGACCACAACTACATCACATACACAGGCTGCTTCCACACCTCTGCCCACAAAAGCCCCTGAAGTTCTTGCCTCCGAAGGCCACGTGAAGAGCAGCCTGACGCGGTTTCCAGTCAGGCGTGCTGCCAACGTTCCGTTTTAACCAGTCTGGTTCTGACATGTTCTTCAGGATTCCTAAAAGATGGTTTTAGTCGTTGCACTAAGTCCTGAGTCAAGTGCATCGGACATAGTGCAGCGTGCCGCAACGACCGGCCGCGCGTCGTGTTAGCACATGTCAGCACTTTTCGACAAACTGCCCCAGTGTTCAGTCCCAGACTGTGTTCTGACATCTGGATCAGGGTTGGCAAGTGTTCTTGGAAACAGCGGTCTAGCATGCCGAGCGAGGTTGAGCGAAAGGCGCGTGACTTGTCCGACTGGCCGCTTCTCCTGAAGAAGGAAGCGGGCATCAGAAGCTGCGGCCCCAACCGTAGCAGCCACAGACTCAGCTCAAGCAGCGGCGTCATTTGTGTGCCGAGGGCATCTCATGGCCTGTTTGGGCCCTTCTTGCCGGGGCTTGCGTCTGTGTGGAAAAGCCGGGACACCTAGCAAAAGGGGACGGAAAGGATTCAAGATCTTTTGTGTGAAGAGACTTGCGCTGGGCGGGCACTGAGGGCTTCAGACCTTCCACGCCGGCGGGGGAAGCGCGGAAGGCTTACCAAGACCAGCCCCAAGCTGCGGAGCCTGCGGAACGGGCCAAGCCGGCACAAGCCCCGGCTCAGACGACACCTGCAGCGAACGCGCAGGTACATTCCTTTACCCCAGCAGTGGCACAACTTTCGGACAAGGTGCAGGTCCAACAGCCGATGTGTCTGCAGCAGACGGAGCATCGACAGGTGCAGCAACAGCTGCTCCCAAAGCAACAGCAGCAACCGCAATACTTCCAACATCACTACCAGTTGCACCGCACGCAGCCTGGGTAAGCCAGACCTGTTAGAATCTGTAAGCTTAAAGCTTCTAAATTCGAAATTCTAAAGGATGGATTGAGCTTCCTTCTGTTCGGGATCAACAAGCTACAGGGCTTCTGTGTAGAAGCCTGCTGAAGTTGGAGGGCTATCTTCCAATTGCTTGTTTTCGTGCTGAATCATCATTCGAGCTTTTGCGTTTATATGATCGTAGCTATACATCTGAACTTAGGAGTTCTAGCTTTGTGTTTGTGTTTTCAGGGTTGCGGCTTCAGTTAGCAAGGAGCCCTCTTGGCCCGAAGAGATCCTAAAATTGACCGAGGCATGATCTCAAAACAAGAGCAGCCCCTGCTCACTACTTTGCCCACTTGGATCTTCGTCTCGACTTGTTCTTGTGCCGAAGCTACCGGAAAACAGGGAAGGTTCGGGGTTTCAGGGCTGCCACGGCCGCATGGCTCCGAGCACCTGCATCTATCTATCTATCTATCTATCTATCGATCTTTATATCTATATAATACAGGTTTTTCCGGCTACCCACAAAGCCGAGCAGCCTCTCTGCAACCTGAACTCGAATCTTTCACACATTTTAGGGTCTGAGGGATCTCAATAGCGCTGCCAGGTGCGAGTATCAGATTCAGCGCCAGGCACAAACATTCAGAAATGGGGCTCGCATTTCTTCTGGCCTGTGCCATACAGTAGCAGCCGGGGATTTGCAGTTTCGGACGTTGCGGTTGGGGCCTTGGGCTCCCCGGCGCCCCAGAGCCATAGCACAGCTCAGTGCACATCCGTTGGTGTACGCCACTTTCTCTGCTCCATGCGCCCGCTAAGACTGTGTTTGGTATTTGCGTGCCTGTGTTCTTTGACTTGCTATTTCGGTTCTTGGAGCCGCTTGGTTTCCTGCAGGTGCAGCGTGAGTATGGCGCGGCGATGCCCCTCGTCGGGACTTGCCTTGGCCGGGGACGGGGAGTCACCGAGATCCTGAACCCCAAACTCTTGAGGCCCCGAGAAGTTGGTTTTTCCTGCCTCAGCCCCCCGCCCTTGGGCTTCAGGCTTACTGGCACCAAGCCCTACAAACACCGCCAAAACCCTCAGAGGCCCTGCAGCTTCTGAGGCAGAGATGCATGCCTGACATGGGCATATCGCAGCAGCCTGGTCCACTCGATGCCCTTCCCATTCAGAAGGCACAGGCCAATGGGGTAAGGTAAGCCTTAGATTTGGTTTTGGATCGGGCGTACTTGATTGACACAGCGGGGTCGTTGGGTTTGACACAAAAGAAAGCACTGTACCTTAGCTATTTTGGATCACGTGCAGTTTTCCAATCCTGCCTCACTTGCTTTGTGCAAGGCTTTGCCCGGATGTTCCTTGCCATAAACTGTTTTGCAGGGTTGCTGTTATCGTTCGCAAGTGTCTGCTTTTGTTTGGCTAAGGATTCCTCGAACTGTCTAGGTTGGAGGCCTCGAGAATGTCAGGGCTTGTTCTCAATGATTTGACCTCGCTGTACTGTACAGTACATGCATACATGGTCATGTACTCCCCGACCCCTTCCTTCTGTGGGTAAGGTGGATCTGTTTAGGTTGGGATTTAAGCAATCCCTTTGTCGCCCCTGTGGGCATGGCTGGTTTCCCCCTTTGGGTGCCCCTGAAGAAGAATGCGGCATGCGACGCTGCCTCCCAAGCCTCTTGCATACCCTGAGATTAGAATGCACCTTTGCAGTCGCACGAGGATTTCGGATCGACGGCTCACCAGCAGATGGAAGGAGTGACCGCCAAGTTGTGCCAGATTGAGAAACAGGCCGAGACAATCAAGGACACGACCCTGCACAGCAATAGATTTAGGCTTGCGCGGCTTGCTGCAGTAAGTCGGACGAAGGCCAAGATCCACTGAACAGCTTGCCGCTGTGAGCTGTGAGGACAATCTTCGACAGCTCAACAGCGCGTGGGCTGCCAGACCACAACTACAAAGGCTGCCTTCAATATCAACGAGCAGCCACCTCCCCAACCCAGCGACCCTAACTTCTTCCCTTCGAAGGCCGCGGGAGGCCGCCTCCGTCTCTGGAAGAGTGCCCCGTCCTGGTTTCGATTAATCTGGCAGGATCTTGTCCTTGTCTTGTCAGAGTCTTGTTGAGAGACGCAACCTGAAAGACTGCAAGGTTCAAGTGCAAGCTCCGGTGAAGGGATGCATCATCGCTGCATGAAAAAAATCCGTCTGGCCCTGGGCCAACAGCTCTGCCAAAGTCAAGATGCAGAGCGGCCTGGGTTGCCGTGTAGAGGCACTGTTTCCTGGCGTGAAGCCTTCGAGCTTTCGTTAATTAGTTAGGACTGGCATTGTTCTCTGCGCTACGGCCTACCTGCAGCGAAAACAGTATCGACGAGTGTCAGGGCTGCCCAGAATTCGGTCAGCACCCGGTTCAGTCGCAGTGACAAGAAGAGCCTCAGTGTGTCTTGTTTCCATGACGCCGACAGCTTGGTTGCATGATGGTTCAAACACGGGAATCAAACTTGCTAGTTAATTGCAAGCATCTTGTCAGTGTTAAAAGTGAATTCTAGTTGAGTTCATCCTGTCTGCATGTTGGAAAGTTTAAGCCTCTGCATGTTTCAGCACCTGTAGCCTCAAACATCTGCAGACTCAGATATGATCGCTGCCTGTGCGAATGCAAACTGTACGGCAAGTCGCGAACATGCAAGATCAGTTTTTTCTTTCATGTAGCTCCTGCGCTCAATGGAGACCACCACAGAGACGAACCCCAACTGGCTCTACATGCAGGAGGTGACTGCCAAGCTGCGCCAGACTGAGAAGCAGGCCGAGACAATCAAGGACACGACCCTGCACAGCAATCGATTTAGGCTTGCGCGGCTTCTCCCAGTAAGTCCGACGAGGCATAAGATCCACTGAACAGCTTGCCGCTGTGAGCTGTGAGGACAATCTTCGACAGCTCAACAGCGCGTGGGCTGCCAGACCACAACTACACATACACAGGCTGCTTCCATACCTCTGCCCACAATCTCTATGACGGGCAACCCCCTTACCCAGAGCCCCTGAAGTTCTTGCCTCCGAAGGCCACGTGAAGAACAGCCTGACGTGGTTTCCAGTCAGGCGCGCTGCCACCATTCTGCTTCAGCCAGCGAGGTTCCGGTAAGTATCCAGATGTTGACACTCCCTGGGTGGCGATTTCTTCACAGCATGTACCTGCAACGGAAGTTTGGCGGCACAGGGCGTCGGCCATTGAAAACTGAGCCAGCTTATGTAGACCCAGAAGCTGCAACAGCACACAGCGGCTACAGTAAAGGTCTATACTAGTCTATACATACCCAAGAACACGCCTGAGGCTAACAACACCACCCCCGTGAGTCCAACAAGAACGCCCTCAGTCGCAACATCCAGATCAGGGCTTTAAATGGGCTCAATGCCGAACGAGGTTGGGCGAAAGGCACGTGACTTGTCCGACTGGCCGCTTGTCCTGAAGAAGGAAGCGGGCATCAGAAGCTGCGGCCCCAACCGCTAGCAGCCACAGACTCAGCTCAAGCAGCGGCGTCAGTTGTGTGCCGAGGGCATCTCATGGCCTGCTTGGGCCCTTCTTGCCGGGGCTTGCGTCTGTGTGGAAAAGCCGGGACGCCTAGCAAAAGGGGACGGAAGGACCCAAGATCTTTTGTGTGAAGAGACTTGCGCTGGGCGGGCACTGAGGGCTTGGGAACATTTGCATCACCTCCGTCTCGGGACGAAGTGGCCTTGCAGGACAAGCCGCACATCGCCCAGTTGCAACATGCCGTGTGGCAACGTTCGTGTGAATAGTGTTATTCGAGAGAACTCTCGACAATGCTGTTTCTGCGACAGCACGAAGGGTAGGAATTCACTGCATCCCAGGCCTCTGCGACGTTCTCAACTTGAAGCACTGGCGCCTGCCGTGCCATCGCTGCAAAAAGATGAAGATAGTCACCGTCTCTGTCAGCATCAAGCAGAACTTCGCTGATTCGCATGACAAGCGGATGCCTTGGAGCTCCGCAACTTGGCTCTATATAACTCATGGGAGGCCTTGCACCAAGCTCCAGTGACAGCCACGACCCGAATTGTCTTGTCTTCAGTCCTCAGTCGACAAATGCACATCACGTTGATCGTTGTTAGTTGTTGATTGATTATCTCTATTCAATGGTACCTCAACATCTATAGATGTTATGGACTTCTAGCCTCCCCCATGAAAAAGCAGCAAGTTCAGGTGGATTCTGCCCGAGCCGTAGCCCCTCCCAAGTAAACGCTTGATAAATCTCAGGTGGCGTGTGGAAGTTTATTGAAGTCAGGCGTGCCCCCCCAATAAGACATATATATATATATATAGAGCTACTATGCAATTACGTATATAAGTTATACATAATATAGAGTCACCCCAGGCCACCTTCTTCCAATTGCAATGTCTAGTTCTTTGAGCCCCCCTGTTGCTATCGCTACAACGCTGCGGTCGCAACATTACGACCACTGCTACCGCTAGCTGCTGCTGCTGCTGCTTCTGCTGCTCTTCTTCGAGGCAGCCAAACAGGTGCGTCACAATTGAATACTTCCATATTTCCTGAGCCCTAGAACCCTGGAGCCCACACCGAAAGCTCGAAGCTTCGACAGCGATCGTAAACCTCAGCTGAGCTGCGCATGTGTGGATGGTGAGCTTTGTTCGGAGATCACATGCGCCGAGTACGCTGACGCCCTTTCCCCTCATCGCTCGACCCCGCCGACCCCGCCCTTCCGAGATCTCCTTGTCCGCCCTTCCCTTGTGCTGTTCTACTGATGCCATTGCGACCGTCGCTGATGCCGCGACTAAAATTGATGCTGCTTGTGCTAGTCGCGCTAACAGTTTTCCCCACACCAAACCTCGCTAACGAGCAAGCAGACTGAGAAGAGTGAAAATTGAAAATGAAATCACATGAGCATTCCGAGGTGCCTGCGGGTCTCAAGCAGACAGAAAACTCATCGCTTGCATCAACGAGCTCACGGCTCAGCGGTTGCCTGTTGTACATTCATACTACATTCACGCTCCGCAGCTGGTAGCTGCGGGGTAGCGTCCTGAGGCACTGGCATTGTTAGCCCGCCGCAGCCTTCACTGCCTTGCTTTTTTCTTGCTTCATCTAATTGTCATTCTACGTTGCTGACCGTGCCTCCAGCTGAGGCCGGAGCTTCCAGAGGAGCCATGTCTGGAGAGGCACTCGTCGGTCAGAGGACGCGAGAGGGAGGTGTAGTCTCTGAAGTCCGAGCACTGCGGGAGGCACACGGCCGTGGATGACGCACATGCCCGGTTCTCATTCTGAAAGTCCGGGCCTGGCACATCCGCCTGGAGCCCTGAGGAACTTCCGCAGCTGATCCGGGTGCGTGCCGATCGACAAGACGTGAGAGATACGCCCAGGCAGCAAGCAGCTGGCTTAGAGACTTCCGCGGGATGGCGGTGAGTTCACAGCCACGGAAGATCTTTGGTGTTCATAGAAGTGGATTGTGCGCGGCCAGTTCAGGACACACTGACAACGCTGCCTGAGCATCTACCACGAGACCTCACGCAGAAGTACAAGTTTATCGACGCCCACAGCTTGGGTTCAGGCCACCCTCGATGCCCGTCAAAGCCCAAGCCACATTGCATCGCCTTCAAAAATCCTTGCGGAGGTGCCGTCGCGAGAGTTTGTCGGATGCAAGAGCTGGAAACGGGTCGGCATGTGGCGGTGAAGGCGGGTCAGAGCCAAGGCATCCGGAAAATTTCTCAAACTTGTCCGGTGCAGGTTGTTGAGAAGTATCCCCTCAAGATCCGCAACATGATCACGCAGATGGAGCGTGAAATACGGGTCCACAAGAGACTGCGCCATCCCAACATCCTACACCTCCATGCCTGCTTCGAGGAGGGCCTAAAATTGTTTCAAGACTTTGAGTCCGACTCCATGCAGATTCCGTCCATTTCAGGACAGCACCCATTGGTACATGGTGCTGGAGCTCGCAAGTCGTTTGGTGAACCTCCTGCTTCGCTTCCCCTGGAAGCGGCTTCGAGAGCCTCAGGCGGGATGGCTCTTCGGCCAGGCCCGGATCCTCTCAAAGCAAGTCTTACCTGGACCCCAAAGAACCTACCCTTCTTTGGGTTCCTTATTATGATCTCCTTATATAAGTCCTTAAACAGGTACTGTAGGTTCTTTGGGGTCTGGCTAGGGCCTATTTGTCATCCGTTTGGAGCAGGTTGTCGATGGCGTGTCGCACCTTCACCAGAACGGTTGCGGCCTCGAAGGCAGAGTCTACTCCTAGGCACCTGCAGCCTCCTTTACATCCAAGCGCTAAGGCTGCGTCCACAGAGATTTGAAGCCCGACAATGTCCTCATGGTCGAAGACTGCCCGAAGGCACGGTCGCATTTAGAGTGGCGAGCATCGACAACTTTTTGTCAGAAAGCCAATGCCTCGACGTTTGCCAGATTTGTGACTTCGGATGGTGCGCAGAGCTCAACGAAGGCCAGCGAAGGCGCCTGGGTAAAGTTGCTAAAGTTCGGACATGTCAACTGCCGGAATGGCTTGATGGCTTGTGATCCTGAGTCCGTTAAGGCATTTATATGACATTGTATGAGTCTGCGATGCCACACTAGCCCGATGGACCGATCCATGGTGCTTGTGAGGACGTTTTGCGGCACCTTCGACTACATGGCTCCAGAGGTCTGGAAGGGGCAGCGGAAACGCTAGTTGCATACCTGGTGAATAACTCGTTTGCTCGTCATAGGCGCTGCTTTGGGCTGGAACTTTTGCTTCGAAGACGTTGGCACATGCCGCGGGAACTGTTCTTGCAGTGCTGCTGACATGCCGTGAAAAGGTGTAAGCGAACCTCGAACCGCCACAGCATTCCAAATACGGTTATTTTTTCCAGGTGCACTAGCAGTTTTGGGAAATCGTGATGTAATCGGCCGACGTAGGGGAGGCCTCCAATTTTTCCGAAAGGAAGTATGCAGCCACTTGAGACTCTTGGAGGGCTACCTCTAGGAGACTCGGAGGAAAGGGTCCTTGGGTTCGACCTGGTTCCTGCAGGAAGAACAGGTAAGATAGGCAAGCAGTGAAAGCAGATCTTTGAGCCGCCCTCGACAAAGCGTGCAAAGAGGTCATTTTCGGCGAGGGCCACGGGTCCGAAGCGGATGTTTGGAGTCTGGGCATTACCCTCTATGAGGTGTGCGCGTGTGGTTTCATGAGTTGCCAGTCCAGTCTTTGAGAGACTCCCATGAGAGATTGCCTGCAGCGCTTGTGCCAGCTCCTGGCCGGTGGGACGCCTTTCGCAAGCCAGAGCTGCTGGACTTGATTTTGATTGCAGCATGATATATATATATATATATCAGTGGAAAACAGGTGCTGCAGGCGGACGTGCCTCCACAAGCGAAACATTCCAGGAGCGCATCCACAAGGCTGGCAACTCGAAGACACTACTTCTCGACGCGCTGCTTAGCTTCCCGTGGCCTTCAGGTCGATTATATCCTTCCGAATTGGTTTTCCAGTGAGGCGAGCGAGGGAGAGAGAGCAAGAGCGAGAGAGAAATAGGAGTGCCCCAGATGGTGTGGAGGTCCGTGAAGGACGCTTAGTCCCTAAGAGAGAGGCAGATACTTGGTCATTCTCCTTTCTGACCTTGTCAGCTTCTACCGTGCCCGCCACGAAGGTGTGCCACCTCGTGAATTGCATGCTTCAAAGATATCCTCACCAACGCTACACCGCCAGCAAGGTACCATAAAGAAAAAGGACGTCTTAAAAAAATCTGCAGTGCCATGTCGTGCTAGGTCCTCGAGCACAAATGGTTGGCGACATTTTTCCTGAAGCCGAAGCAGGCCCTGCCCTGGTCCTTGCGCCCCTCGTGTCATTAGTGCATCCAAAGAGTCAAAGTCCGAGGCAGTTCAGGCTGGCGCACGGCCGCCAAGCCTCGAGCCGACACCGGAGCTGCCCTCGCCAGGGTCTCTGCCACTTTAGCATACCCGCAGCGCGTAGCCTTGATGGGAGGGCTGGAAAGGGGGTCGGGAGGGGGGGGGGACGCATGAAGCTTCACTAAAATGGGCTTACTGTGCGTCGTCAGCTCCGTGCACGAATGCCTTTCAACCTCATTCCACTCTGCAGCTGACTTCCGGTGGCTTTACGTAGAAACACTCAGGCAGGGTCGAATCAATTTGCTTCGCATGCATTTGACCTCCTTGGCGGAGTCTTGCAGCCGAGGCCAGTCCCTACGCAAATCTGGCCGGTGAGGCTCCCAGACCCCTAGAAATGTGTTTCAGTTTTAAGGCGAGCACCAACTGGAAGCCAAGGTGTCAGCTGCTGTGCCTCCGCACGCAGGCCTGTGCGGAGTGTTGACAGGTGTCGCTTGAGTTTTGACTTCCGCCCTGAGCCGTCGGAGCTGAGTCACAGAGGCCTACCCAAGAGCTTATCTCGACCTGAGCTGGGGATCCACCCTGGCGCCTGCAGAGCGCATGCCTTGAGCTCACTTAGTAGAGAGAGACAAACTCAGCACCGTTTTGTCCAGTTCTAGCCCAAGGCGCACTATGAGATTCGGGCAGAGAGCTCGGTTCACCATTGCAAGACTTGGAATGTCTGGCAGACATTGCGCAAGCGCGGATTTTGTCATGTGAGTTATGTGGTGCTTCCGGGAAAATCAGACGTACTGGATTGCCAGCACGTGTTTCTTTCGGTTTGCTTTCGATCAAGTTTCCTTTGCTGGGTGACGGTATTTCACTTCAATGGCATCGGAGGAGAACGGAGGAGACAGTCGGTCGGCTGCTTTGCAAGGAAGAATCTGCCATGTCGCTTCCCACTCCGAAAGCTGTTGACACTGACCCGGCAAGAACGCGGGTCTCAATATTATCTGAGCTTGGCAGTGACAAACCTGGATTCTCTACTGTAACGCTCAGTCCATAGGCCCGCCATAGGCCACGGGCCTCTGGTAGACCGGGAGCCTTGACTGTCCGCTTGATTTCCCATCTCGCCTAGTATCCTAGTCCTTTCCTCTCAGCGTTTTGTTTCGTAATTTGAGTCCTGGTAACATGCAGATGTGATTGCTGAAGGCCGCCCCATGCTGTGCACCCAGCTTGCACTGCCTGTCATCCAAAGGGTTTCGAGGGCAGCCGCCGGCATTAATCTTGCAAGTCGAGTTTTAGGTCCGGGACGACAGCCGTCACCAATCGCCCAACCCTTGGATGGAGTCTTGCAGTGGGTTGGAACGATCAAGAGGGCACTGGCGTGAACCGCAATGAACGGCAGAGATTGATTCAAGGCGGAAGGTCACAGACGTCCGCAGGCAGCAGATTCGTAATCTATCGTTGCAGAGACCGACTCCGCTGCTGTAACGTTTCTGTGCGCGTCAGGCCCACTTCGCTCAGCGAAGCGGCCGCTGCCCTTGGACTGCCATGCATGCGGAAGCCGAGTCTGCCAACGTTGCCGTGCAAGGCGGTGCTGTGAGCAGTGGAAGAGCCCCGTGCCCGCGGGATGATTCAGGGAGTCACAACGTTCATGTTGCGCCAAGAGTTCTATTCGGAGAGGTGATTTGTCTTGACAGGGCGACGGCTTTTTTCAAGCGCACATTGCGGTTGTTACCAGTAGAGCGTTCGGTGCCACATGCTCGTTGCAACATGCGATCGAGGTATCCTGCACACGGCGCCGGGATTACCGTTGCAGCAGGACGTCGTGCTGGGCTGCTCTGGCTGGTCCTTGATGTTAGTGCGGTAAGTCGCCCCAGGGCCTTTTCCAACGCCAGCTCCGGGTTCGCCGATCATTGCCGGCCGGCCGGTGCGCAAGGTCTGGCAAATACGCCAATGGCGTGCAGCTGGATTTTAAAGTGCATTGCATTTGCGGCTTGACGGGGCTTGCAGAGTCATCTGAAACACTGTCTTGCTCAAGGTGGCGGCGCCGCACGTGCGCTGTCGAGTTTGAAGGGACCCATCACGACCCCCAAACGATCCCGACATATAGCAAGATGGCATCCTCCACCTTGTTGTGATGGGCTGCAGCAGACTCGAAGGGTGTCGCCCGCCTGGTTTGCCGAATCTCCTGTGGCGCTCCCTTTCCACATGATGGCTCATGCTAGTTGATCAAGTTGGAATGTGGAAACAAGGCACAGGCACCGTGAACGCAAGCGCGAGAGCATTGTATTGGGCTCTCAGGGACGATAATAATAGACTTACGAGTACAGCTCAGCACAAGCATGGGTAAGGCTTCGCTGCAACACATGCCACACCAAAGACGTGTGCAATGGACTGTGCGTGTTGAGAACACCTCCACGCTCAGGAGCGGGGTACTGTACTGCGACTGAGTGACTGCCATACTGAACTTATGAAGCTCACACCTGCCTGCTACATCCTATTATATTGCTCGACAGAGATTCATCAGATCTGCGACTTGCTAGGAGATGCTCGGACTTACCAAGCTGCTGGAAGGCCTGTACCTGGCGGGAACCCGACGTTTGCGTGATCCAGTTGTCTTCAGGCCAGAGAAGGCTGCTGCACAGTCGAGCAGCCGCTTGCTTGTGGCCTGTTCTCCCATTTGTGCTGCCGGCTCATTTTGTAGGGGCCCTTGCTTCGTGTCAATATTTTCTAACTTGCGAACAACATGTCCATGGCTCTCAGCTCCTTCCCTTCGGAGACTTACTAGGTTTCGACATGTTTGGCATTCGCAAAGACAAGCGTAAAACTGGTGTAGTGCAAATGCCAAGGGGGCCACTTGTGACTGAGCTGTGATGCTGTCCTTGCGAAGGGTGCAAACCAGCCCATTTGTTTGAAGATGTAGTTGCCCTCCGGACGTTCCCGTGCCATGATTGCACTGCTGCGTGTGTCCTTGGCATTCCTTTGCAACTTTGCCAGCGGCCCCGCAACCGTGCTAAGCCGCTTGCCAGAGCGCCTGTCTTGTGGTCTCGTGGCAAACTGCTGAACCTTCCCCCAGTTGCACAGGCAACAAGTCGGTCTTCACGCATGCTCACTTCCACTATCCTGTGGCATTGACTATTTGCCACTATGTGTTCACGTGGCTGACGGTACGACTGCTAGCTCGCTTTGGAGTTTATGAGTGACCCGCATGCACGATGCGCTTCTGTGTTTGTTTCCAGTCGCTTTCTGTCTTTCGTTTAGGCAGGCTACAGTGCGAGCATCATCCAAGGAGGATGTCCCTTCAGCTGCTGCCTCCCAAAGCCGACTCTCCCGCCAAAGTGGCGTGTCTGCGCAGTAGCATTTTGATTCCAGATATCGGAGACTTCTGAGGCAATCATCTGCTTGATGCTTTGGCTGCAAGTTTAGGGTTTTGGCAGTGCCCGTTGATCTGACTCATTAATGATGGTTTGCAGTATAGGCATGCTGCACTGCTCGGGCGCAGTCGTGTCCCGACCATTCTTAGGATCGTGGTATGGAGTCTCTACAACATTGCGTCGAATGCTTCCTTGTCCCAGAATTCGGTTGGCATGTATCAAATGGTGAAGCCACTCGCTTGCGTTTTTGCGTGCTATATCAGACATGACATTGCTGCGCTTCGGCGTCATGCCGTCTTGTCTCTGGCTCTCATCTTGATCGTCACAGGGGTTGGCAGCATAGTTATCGTCGCCTCTGGCGACTCCCCGACCATCTTCAACCTTCGCAAATCTAAGACTGCTGATGACTCCATTCGCGGTGCTCTGGGACTTTGCCATGTATGGCAGAAAACCTACTGCTTGCTGCTCGGTGACACAGCTGTTTGCAGCAGAATCAGGTCGTGGCTTGTGTGGTATCGGCTTTGTGTCGAACAGCTTTGAAAGCTTGTCGGTTGGATGAAGTTGGATGTTAGGCTATTGTGAAGTGAGCCTCTGAGGGCAAGCTGCCCTGCTCACCATGGCGGTTTTTGGCATCAGCCAGTGCACTGTTTCTGGAATCCAGAACGGCGAAGTCACGCGCACCTCGGCTTGCCAGAATAAGCTGGACGATCGCACCTGCCCTGTATTTGGAAATGGCACTTCAGGTTTTGGTCTGGCAGTGGCGCTACTGTCGACACTTTTCGCAGCACTCGCCTTACACCTGAACCGAGCTTATAAGCACCATTAGCTTAGCAAGAGAGCCTCCCTGACAGTCACACAGGTATAAATGAGCCTCTGGTAGCATCACAGAGCCAGGCTTGTCGGCTAGAGTGTCATTTCTATTAGATGTGGATGCCCGTGTTACAGATGTTGCAGATGGCAGCTTTCATTCTTCAGGTGGTCCAGAAAGGCGACGGGCTCAGCCAAAGATGGAGCAAGGCGAGCCTCTCTCAACCACGTGTCATCAGGAGATTCTTGTTACCATGTGGGAGCATACGAAGGGACCTGAGGTTTGACTACCCACGTGGTGCAGCTGCTCGGTGGCACTTCACGCTCATCAACAAGCGGAGTCATAATCGTCGGCATTGCAACTACAGCAACCAATTTCATAACCGTCAGAGATGTCAAAGGAGTGCATCTGGACGGCGAGGAAGAAGTGGTTGCTGCCGTCATCGCCGTCGTCGTAGCAGTCGAACTAGGAACTAGCACCAGTACTAGTAATGCTTGTAGTACTTTTGTATTGATTTAATCAGTCGTCGTCGTCGTCATCGTCGTCGCCGTCGTCGTCGTCGTCGTAGTAGTAGTAGTAGTTATAGTAGTAGCAGTAGCAGTAGCAGTAGCAGTAGCAGTAGCAGTAGCAGTAGCAGTAGCAGTAGCATAGCAGTAGCAGTAGCAGTAGCAGTAGTAGTAGCAGTAGCAGTAGCAGTAGCAGTAGCAGCAGTAGCAGCAGCAGCAGCAGCAGCAGCAGTAGTGATTCAGTGCTGGCAAGGTGCTCGGTTCCCTTCTTTGCGCGCCGCGCTGGGCGCGATGGTCGCGGCCCTGGCGTAGGAGTTGGGAGGTGGCCCTCTCCTTTCGTAGGCTGCAGGGGCTGCAGGGCTCAAAGCCCTTAGTGTGGGAGAGTGCAGAGCTTTCAGCCTGGCTTTCCGGGTGTCGTACATAGAGTTTAAGATGGATTTGCCAAGCAACAATAATGAGCAACATGGCTTCTGCATACAAGGGCAACACCGCTTGGTTCAAAGTGCTCTTGTTGGACGAGATGCCGCCAACAATGCTGAAAGGGAGGCAGAGTTGAGGCACGGTCACTGTAGGAGGACTTAGCACGGCCTTCGCCCCAGCCTGGCACCCGTGAAGACGTTTTCTACGTGGCGATTTGGGAACTTCTCAATTCGCCTGATTGCCTTACAGGCATACCTACTCACAAATAGTCTTCAGGGCCCTTGAAGACCAACTCACTCTTTCAGCCAAACCCTTGCCCCTCCAGCCCCATCTCAGCACCGAAGATCACTGTAAGAACAACGATGACACCGACAGAAGCACAAACATGAAAAAAGCCGGCAATGATAAGACCAATAGTGACAAATAGCACTTGCAATAATAGTAAATAGCTCTAACAGCTTGATAGTATGCAGGGTAGCAGCCTTTTCAAGGTGCACCTCCCCAAATCTCAGGACCTGACGGGCTCAGGGCGAGTCGCTTGCTTCGAGCTCGAGTCGTTGGGATCCCGGGCGAGGGAACGCCTCCCGGGGCTTTGCAGAGTTCTATCGTTTGGAGTTTAGGGTTTAGGGTTTAGGGTTTTTGGAGTTTAGGGTTGTTTGCATCAGGACTCGATTGGAGTCTGAACAGCTTTCCAAAGTTTGGTAGACAGTAGGGATGGTTGTTACAATGGAGCGGTTCCTAAGTGCAGGGCCATGACCACACTTAGATTCCTACCTGACAACATGACATGAACCAGCATTGATATGGGTCAGCACTGGTAAGCGATTCTTGCTCTCGGTTCTGATTCAGCTTGTAATAAAGCATTCAAATGCGACCTAGAGAAAGCTGGGAGGAGCGAGAGAGAGAGAGAGAGAGAGAGAGAGAGAGAGAGAGAGAGATCCTTTATTATAACAACTATGGCTCTAGGCCTTTTGGTGTTGTATGCTCGCTTCTCACACCCCTGTGCCTGCAAAATATTTGCGGGTGGGCTCTAAGCCCGGGGGTCTTGACCGACCCCCACGCCCGGGAGAGAGAGAGAGAAAGAACTCAAGCCCCCACGACTTGGGCGACAACGTGTGCCCGAAACAGATCTTCGAGCGTGCCCAGGTGGTTGAGGCAGCAGATGTACCCAGGGGATGCGCGAATGCTGCTGAAGGCCCCGTAATGCATTCACCGGGAAAAAGGCTCAGGCTGGAGTTTGGAGTTCATCGTCAAATTCTCGGGGTCCAAGCCTAGTGCTGCTCCGGACTGATGTACTGGGGTGTGGAGACTTTGCGGTGGACAGCTTTGTTTGTGGGCGCTGCTGGCGCAGAAGAGCCGTAAGCGGCGCCAGAGTGGTCCGTCATTGCAGATACCCCCAACTCCACCCAAGCCCACCCCAAACCCCGAAAGAGAAGCAAGCTTCTTTGCCTTTGAAGCCCAACCGGCCCGAACCCCTCAACCCGCGACCTCTCAGGACCTTGGCCGCAAAGGCAGCCTCGGCAAGGCCCTCAGAAGGTAGCAAGGCCGAGGCTTTTCTGTGCCAACTCTACAAAGGACGTGTGTGTGTGTGTGTCTTTTTGTCATGCATGTAAATGGTGTGATGCTCAAGTAGATTCATGCTCCTACATGTGCTTGTGTGGTGAAACTGTTTCTTCTTGTACGCACCTATGTAAGCATGTATGTTTCTAGTATGAAAGCATGCGTGTGTGTGTCTGTGTGTGCGCGTGTTTACTTGTGCACGGTCTTTTTTCTGTCTTGTTGGCATCATCATGTGCTGAACCCCCAAGCCCTGGAGCCTTAAAGACCGAAACACTGAAAGAAGCTCTTTCAACTGGCTTCTTGTTAAGAGATTTTTTATTCAAGATACCACAATAGGGATCTAGAGTAAATAAAAAATAAGGTTTCCTTACTATTATGTATTTACTATAGATCCCATTATTTCAACTTGAATAAAAGCCCCTTAACAAGAACCCAGTATAGAATCTATAGTAAATCATAGGGTTTCCTTAGTATGGTAACTTAGATTAAATCCCCCTAAGAAGAACCCAGTCTTTCAAGGCCTCAGCCAGCTCCGTCCTCTGGCGGAGTGCTTCGTGCGAAGCAGCGCCGCCTGTGGCCGACCGAGCCTTGGGCCTCAGAACCAGGGACGGTAATAGATATAGTGTATGTATATATATATATGTATACTATATATATATATACATATACACATATATATACACATATTTGTGTTCTTATGCATCATGATATCTCTACATGTGTACGTAATCTATACACATATGCATGTATTTGTATATACATATATATATACATATACGCATATACAGAATCCTCTACAGTATATCGTACATAAAATATCATGTGGAAGTCTGAAGAATTCCAAATATTCTTCCTCCGGGCTCCATACTCTAGATATCGTATACGATACGACAACAATCGGCGAGAAGGATAGGCCAAAGGGAGTCTTGTCATCCCCATCGGAAGATATCGTCTTTTGTAGGCCGCAACATTCTGAAGCCCGAGTCCTTGAACATGTGGGGAACATGGCTCAACACCAACAAAACCCAAGCCGCCGGAACCCCGAACGTACCAATCTTTTGGCCTTGCCTCCATGTTGATATGATTATTGCGCTTGCATATTGATTTCTATCCCTATGTACATTCAATCGCAGACGTGTTTACTCACTTTGTAAACGAGTCTCTTGCATCCCAAGCATCGCATTCCAAGGTGGCGCCACTGCAGGCGCACTGCTGCGCCTGCTTTGCAGCTTCAGTGACGCCCGCGCCCGGCGGTACCAGCCCTTCGAGGACCCTGAACCGTGAGCAAGGGTTCCTTGAAAGTGGCCAGAGGTAGCTGGGTACTGCTCGAAACTTTCCAGTAGCAGTAGCAGCAGTAGTAGTAGCAGTAGCAGCAGCAGCAGCAGCAGAAGCGCTACTATGAGGACAACAACCACTATCTCTGCCACTATCACTACCACTGCCACTGCCACTGCTGCTGCTGCTGCTGCTGCTGCCGCCGCTGCTGCTGCTGCTACTGCTACTACTACTACTACTACTACTAGTACTACTAGTACTACTACTAGTGGCACGTGCCGGGAGTTTAGAACCTTTGTTTGTTCCGGTCATCTATCTGGTCATTCTGGTCATCTTGGGGGGGGGGAAAAAGCAGTAGCAGTGCAGATGCAGGCCTTCCAGTCGGCGGTCCGCTGTTGCCGCTGTGCCGGGAACTCGAAACGGTCCTTGCACTCCTGAAACGTTGATGCCCTAAGGCCACAACTCCAAAGGACCAATTTGAACCCTTTTGGGCACAGGGAGGGATGGGAGGGCAGCCAACAGCCTGCACGTGCGTGCTTTCAACTTCGGATTTCCCGCTTTTCCCTGCTGACACTTGTTTGGTTGCCTCTACTGTAGAAGGCCGTCACTTTCATTGAACACCTCGCTACAGGCACGCTCGAAAGTACTTGTTCGAAATTCCTCGCAAAAAAGACGTGTTCTGCCGAGAAGAAATCCATCAGCTGTATTATGTGAGGTGCTACAATCTAGCCCGTAGGAAGCATTTGTTTACCTTCAAAAACAAACGAGGTGATGCAGGTGCGTGTCTAAGCTCCCTGGCACTCTTTCACATCAGTAAACAAGCCATAACAACCCCAACAAGCCCTATTGTAATTATAAAGGGTCCTGTTGCCCCGCAACATGTTGCAAACATCAAAGGTTTCAAGGTCAAGGGTTTTTACAAGCTTTTCCGAAAGCCTCGAGAGTGAAACGTGGCTTTCAGATTCTGATGAACTCGCAGAGTTAAGTTCATGACAAGGTGACCTCGTCGGCACATGAAGGTTTGCAAGGGGACAATGAGCTGCCTACAGCATCCTCATACGAGCTTCCGCGCCTGGCTCAGGTTTGCTCTTTCCTTAACTCAAACATCTCCGTCGACGTCGCCTGTCGGGGGCATGACCTGCAGGGGCCCCGGTTTCGAACTGCGCGTAAGGCCTGTCGGTGCCGGGCACCTTGAAAGGCCGAACCCCAAAGGAGCAAAGTGCAACGCAGAGCTTCGAATCACCAGTGTCGCAGCTGTCAGGACAATGCAGCGCTTGAGCAAAAGGAGAAAGACGAAGCCCCAGACGGATCTAAAGCCCCAGTAGACAATGTCTGAAACTCACCGTGTGTTGCATCCGGAGTCCCTTGTCAGGAACGAGGCGGTGAGCTTGACAGGGACAGCCCGGCTTGGGGACCAGGCAGCTCTTGCAGCAACACAGGGAGTAGCCCAAACCCCAAAGCCCTCCGGATTTGACCCCAGGCCCTCTCTAAACTGCAAGCAGAATCTTGAATGCTAGAGACTTTGCACTGCTTTCACACTTTTCCAAAGCTTGCAGCCTTTTTTGTGCCAGGGCCTGGAGACCTTCCACTCCGGTGTGTCCTCCTCGGGTCGCAGGGCGCGAGGTGCCTTCTTGGCCATTTGCTGTGCTTAAGCTGCTGTCCAAGGGGTTCAGAGTAGGGCTTCAGGGCTTCAGGGTTCTATAGAGTTTGGGGGGCTTCCGGAGCAAAGGATTTTGGCCCTAGGGGTTAAAGAAGGTTGACCGTTAATGCTGCGAGGAGGCGGGTTGCCACTCACAGGTCTTCATTAGGAATGTCTTGATCCAGACTGATGTCATCTCTGGAGTCGGCTGGTTCTGATCACTTTCTTGTCGTGTCGGAGAAGAAGCGAAAAGTCTGGTTCGCGGAGACTATGTGGTTTGGGACTTTGGACCGTTGGGTTTGGTGGCAAATGGATAGCTCGATGTCTAGCTAGAAGTACCTAGGGTTAGGCCTATATGCAACTGCAAGTGTAGTTTCCTTTAACTAGGAACCCTAGATGCGAAGCCCACTGATCCTGTAAGTGTCCATTGTAGCAGCTCGTCCACCGAGCCGCAGGAGCTGCGGCTGAGTCTGGGCCCGGGGTCCCAGATCCTTTCCGAGACTTGGCTTTTTGCCGGCTGAATGTAGTGCAGTCCGTTGTATACTCTCTGTACATATGCATATGTCAGCCATGTGCAGATGTCTAGAAGAAGCGTGTGTGCGTGTGTGTGTGTATATGTATGTATATATGTACAGTGTATTTACTTATTTATTCTTAGATTTATGCGTGTATCTATTATTGCTTAGTTGTTTGTGTATTGATTTATTTTTGTGTTTGCATGTATGTGTATACGGTTTATTTAGTCATACTCATTGATTTGTTGATTTATGCTTTTCATCTCTTTCTCCCGCTGTTTAAAAGGTGTTTCTGAGGAATCCTTGCAGGCTCTGCCCTGACGCCGGACAAGCTGTCTAGCTTGCCCGTTTCCCTTTGCGGGTGTGTTAAAAGACTCCTTCCTCGGACAGGCAAGGAGCAGCCAGCTGCCGACCACAGAGCTCCTCTGGTAATGCCTTGGCACGACACTCCATAGAAAGCCGAAGCTTCCGCCGATAAAGAGACTACTGCACCGGAGCCCTTGCTCCTAGCCTGACTCATGGTGTCTAGAGCTCAATCCAGCCCCATCTAACAGTCACTTGACCAACCTAAAACGCCACAACTGCCTCGTCCAGTCTGATCTTCGACAAGGCCAAGCCTGGCGGAAATCGGCAGCCGGTCGAAGCTGGAAGCCGTCAAAGGCCTGAGCTACGGTGTCTCTCAAGATGGGCGAGCTGCCAGCGTTAAAAGTTTTGGCATTCGGGCTCCCGTTGCGTTGTGTTTGTGGTTTCAGAGAGTCGGCAGCGGGCATATGCGATAACTCAGACTGGGTAGAGGGCTGCTTTCCAAGTGCTTGTCGTAAACTCCCACAGCCCCACACCCCCGTCCTGGTGCAGGTTCCGTTGACAAGCGAGTCTCCACGATGCATTATCAGCGCTGGCCCCAGTTTTGGTTGCTGTGAGCCCGAACGACGGTTTCAAGGAGCCGACGCTACTGCTGCGGCTTTTGTACAAGGGTGTAGGTCTCAAGGCGAAGATCCATTGATGAGCTTTTGGGAGTCAGGCTTTTTGGCCTTTGTCTTCTCACGCTCAGGAGACGAGCTGCTGGCACGGAGACTCGGGTGGCCTTGGCTCAATTCAAAGACAAAGCCCGTGGACTTTCCTGAAGCATAGGTTTGCTGCTCTTTATGCATGCCGTTCTCATTGCGATTCCCCTTTCGATTCGGACGGCTACTTGAGATGACAGAAGTAGAAATGTGATGAGTGTCATCCTCACGCCCCTCGAAAAATCTAAGGAGGCGCTTACGCCCCGGCGGCTCCGAGCAGATCACGCCGCTACCACTGCAAAAGTCTCGTGGTTGTGGTCTCGGTGCTTGGGGAGGGTAAGTAGCCAGCGGCTACTGGCTAGCGCACAAGCATAGCTACAGGTAAAATAAGTAAAAGAAAGGACTGGTAGGTCGCCGTCCTCGCCGCCGTAGCGGTCACAGCAGAAGCAGCAGCAAGGCCCAAAACACCCAGTAAACGCCTCCCGAAGTTCCAAGTCTCTGTGCATCTAAAAATCCTTAGCAAAAGTGAGAGACCTCTCAGAGAGCCACGCGGCCCCGGCGCCCCCGGGCCCCCTTTGTAGGTGCAACGAAGGGAGGCAGAGCTCCAGAGGCGCCTCGGTCCGCTGCCGCCGCTCGGCAAACGAAGCTCTTAAATCGGATGTTTTTTCCGAAGTTCCCAGGTGTCCAAAAAAGGCCCCAGTTTCTAGAGGGCTGCAGGTATAGGTAGGTCTATGTGCTTTTTTGCACCCATAGATCGGCAAACAGTGCTGTAAAATCAGGGTTTTCAGCGGTATATGAGAAAGTCTCCAGCGACTTCAGGACTTTGGGGAGGGCATGTCATGTGGGTGCTTTGGGCGGCTTTCCGGGTTTCGGAAAATGACTCTGATCTGCACGTAGAAGTACAGCCCAGGCGCTTTTCGGGGCTCCCGCCCTAACCCTTCAACTCCGAAAACTTTTGCGTCTGGGACTTTACAGATTCCTCAATCCTCTTGTGCACTCGAACCCTCGCGCTGTACAGCTCCAGTCACTCACCTTACCAACAGGCATGGGCTCAATATCTTCAGCGCTGTGATTGATGAGATTGATGATGACCTTCGTGCTTTGGCCAGGAAGTGCATTGCCACCATCCGTGGCCGGGCCGCACGCGACCGCGCGAGCAGCTTGGCGGCCTCCAGAGCTGAAGTTTTTCGAACTCTCAGAGATAAGTGGCACTCTTAGAGGGGAGAAGCCTAAGCCCTGAGTCGTAGCAGTGCCCATTCCCCAAAGCCCTTTCGGAGTCGTGCCCTTCAGGGTCCAAGGCTTCTTGGCTCTGGGGTCTAACCAGACCTCAAAAGAACCGGAAGCCCATATCTAAGCCTCGAAGAACAGTGCTGCGTCCTTTTTCCGAAAGATCACTCCTATCATGTGGGGACCGTACCTTCGTTAAAGAGCTTTGGGGTTTTTTGCCGCTAAAACCCAGGTTCTCCGCCCAGGTCGCGGTCGAACTCGCCAAAACGGCAGCAGCCTGGCAGGGAAACGAAGGCTTCGTAGCTTGGGGCCTGGGGTTGAGGCGTTTAAGAAAGCATGGTATCTATCTATTTATCTATCTATCTACCTATCTATCTATCTATACATACATGTGTATGTGTGTGTGTGTATATATATACACACATGCTAAAGGTATTTCGGCTGCAATGGCAACCGAACCCCATTACGGTCCTTTGCTGCAGGTTCCTGAGCGCGAAACCCTGGGCACCCTTTTGAAGTGCCAGGTATGCGCGGCACGACTTCATTTTGCTCCCCTGTAAAACCTCCTCATCATGAGCACTGCGGAACAAGGATCCCAACTTATGGGGATACCAGTGAGGGGGCATCTTAGAAACCCCTGAAATTTGGGCATGAAGCCTCAAGGCCAGAAAGGGACCTCGGATTCCTTTGTAGGGCCTTCGACCTAAGGCCCGAGAGGTGGTTACTTTCTGGGTTTGAATTTACGGTGTGGTATAGTGTAAAAAACTGCTCTTTAGCAACTTCAATAGTGAGTCAGGCCAGGAATCTTTGCTTCGAGCGGGGCAAGTCATCAAACGGGTCTCGTTTTCCGGCTTTGGGGGATTCCTGCTTTTGGGCATCCGTGCATTACGGAGAACAGGTTCATTTCCTGCTGACTCCGTCGGATTTCAGGCCTGAGTTGTTATGAAACCGGGGCTTGGAGTATCCAAAAGCCCCTTGCATCGACGGCCTTAGACCCGAAAGCGCAAACCTCAAAGCAGAAAAGAAGCCGCCGCTTGAGTCATCATCTTGCCATCTTGCGGATGGCGAGGACTCTTCCACTAGGTATGACATTCGAGGAGAGATAGGCATCGCTTGGACTTATCTTGTTTCGCACATTACTTGCTTCAGTGGAATGCGTTAAGCGGCCCAAAATTCTCTTAGACGTCTGATCAGTACCGAGGAACGCCGCCACGTTCGCCCCTGGCGCGGAGAGCACCAGGCAAAGCGGGTTTCAGAGAGTGGTCGAAAGCTCATGTATCGTGGTGAAGAATACCCGGGGCCCATATATGATCCCGGTTCTCGGTTCGCCCACCCCTCGCCCTCCCCCCCCCCCCACGCCCGGGTCCATACATGCCGAATCCCTGTGACTGTGCGCACTTCTCCAACCTGGCGGCTCCAAAACCGTCAACTGTCATGAGAATCTCGCACCCGATCCTCGTGAAACTGGACACTTTCCAACCACGACTCCGAGATGAGGCTATCAAAAATGCAACCATCACGAGGATCTCGTTCCTGACAGGCCCGATTCCTCTGACAGTTGACCCAAGAAAGGAACATGATTATGATGATGATACTGATAGTGATAATGATGATGATGACGCCAAGCACCCCAAGAAGACCCAAACTGCGAAGCACACCACGCCACAGGGGAGGAGAAGGGGAGCCACTCCAAGCAAACCCAAACCTCCAACCACACCACAGGTGCGGCAGAACCACACCACAGGTGGGGAGGGGCGAGGGTACCAAGCGATGCAGGGGAGCAGGGGGGACGGGCGAGCCGGGATCATGCATAGCTCGCTGTGTTTTTGGCCCTCTGTGAACCTTACTGGCAAATGGTTAGAAGGCGAGCAAAACACCCTTGACCATGTTTGAGTTGTGCGGACGGCCCAGACTGATTTGAAAGTGGTTCCGAGCTGATCAGTTATGTCCGGCTTTCGTTGCGCATCCCCTTGCACATCGTGTTGTGACACAGAGAGAGATGCTGCAATGAAACCAAGCGAGTGCCAACAAGCAGTTATTGGCCAGAGTGAGGGTTTTTCGGCAGGAGCGACACGTTGACGGCGCCAGTTCTTGCAGAGCCGACCCAGGCAGGAAAAATCTGCGACCTTCCGGTGCTTCAGAGCTTGAGTAAGGACGATTTCGGGCCTGGATCAGGAAGTATTCTGACTCCTGGGTCTCCGCCTTCTTCTGGTTTGTCAGATTCTGCCCTCAACCTCTAAGTGTTCTCCTCGAGTTCTGGCTCTCCTGTTATGGCCACTGCCCTGACACTTCGTGGGCTCAGCAACTTGTTAACAACAGCCTCATATGGGGGTTTCCGAATATAGGGGACCCTGAAATAGTACCCTAAATAGTAGGATCCTTATTATAAGGACCCCAAAATAAGGTACCCTAATTTTCGGAAAGTCCCATATGCCATGATGGAAGCTTGACTGCTGCCTAGGCTTTCTATCTATGCAAGCGACAGGACCACGCCACAAGGGGATCTCGTAAGCTTGCGCCACGTGTTTGGACCGTGCCCAACATCCACAAGATCATAGGAAATCCCTGGAGCTCAAAACACTCCGGCATCCTAGCCAGGCCAATGCCAACCCCTCCGGAGCGGAGGTGGCTTCGGCAGGCCAAGGCCAAAGTTATCCTCCCTGTAGGGGAGTAGGTCCCAACGGCTTTGGTTTGCTTGTTGGTCCCTAACTTTCGGGTTATGGGGTATCGTTTAGCCTGAGAGTTTTCATTTCGAGACTCGACAGCAGGGGATGATGCCATCGTCCCGCGGCGGGCAAAGCCTCTCACGGTTAGCCTAAGCCAGGGCCTTGGCGGACATCACACCCGTTTTGCCGCAGGACGAACTGTTGATCTAAATCTTGTTGTAAGAAAGACACATGTCCAACCATCACATAGCTGTGCAGGATTTGCCATCATGCCTGGTCCTGTATATCAGCCACCGAGTCCTTCTATCACTGTTTGCAGTACTCTCTCTTGGCATGAGCGCGGACATCACATCACATCCCTGTTCAAACCACTGTAGCTTTACAGGGATCCGGTTCGACACGCTAGGCAGGTCGCGAAGCAGCGCAGAAAAAGACAGTTCGAGCACCAGGCGAAAGTCAGTACCCACCCGTGCGTCCGCCGTGGCTGCTCAGGTGCTGACTCCTCTAACACGGCCGTGCGGTCAGCGTCGTTGCTTCCAGTGCCTAGCAGCGGAGGCGGCATTGTGGGACACGTACAAGGTTCACGTTGGAAAGTCTGATAAAGTCTCAGATCATGAATCCTGTGGCTAGTTCGCTATGGTTTTGGATTCCTTGTGCTGGCCTGCGGCATGGCTAATGTTCACATTCTGCGAGTGCCCCTTTGATGGTCCTACTGGTGCAGCATGGTCTTGGGCTACATCAAGTCAAGGGTCTCGTCATCGAAGTTTACCTCGAACCAAGGAAGACCAGTGCCTGATATGACACGGGTCTTCTGGAGTGGACGCGACATGTGAGCTGGACTTCCCAGGTCTTGAAAAGAAGTGCTGCATTCATTGACAAGGTTCTTGCCCCCGATCGAGAGTTATGAAAACCGCTGTAGACTGTAGAATCGAGGATATGGGCTTGTGAACCAAGCCCTCATTTGTGAAACGAAGACGGTCGTTACTTCCTGATCCCGATCAAGGCAACGCGAAGGACCTTAGGCCGGTTGTGCGCCAGGAAGCCTCGTCCGGTCCCCTTCGGCGCCGGTGGTCTTGAGCCGCCCACTCAAGCTGGGAGAGGCTTCTATTTCGTTCAGGAAAACACCTTGATTAGGCGAGGTTATGGAATGAGGCGGCTCGTGTCAATCCCAACCTGATGACACATCAACCGGATCAGGACGATGGATCCTTTCCAGCTCAAAAGCCTTACAGCTTTCCAAGCAGTCCAAGTTCGTTTGCCAGACTCATGCCGAGTGTGATGATCCTGTCATTCATTGTGCTGCTGGCTACAGACACGGCATGCATCTGGGGCTGCGCCCGGAGGTGTCCAGCAACAAGTCAACTCAACATTGGGGCCCTCTCGGCCCGCTGACTTGCGTGACAGTCCTGAGTGAGGAACAGTGCGAAGGTTATTATGTGCATGAAGACAAGCACCTTTTCAAGTACATTGGTGATGGGAAATGCTGCACATGGAAGCGGGTTTCTTGTCAAGAAGGGGGGTCCCGGTGGGAGTGCGAAGGCAAATACCATGAGGAAAGGAAGAATGGTTGGATGTTCTTGGGTGGCAAGCGCTGCCTCGATTTAGACGTGAAGAAGGGTTGGTTTGGATGGCGGTAGCCTCCAGTGAGGAGGCTCCAGATCTGCCTGTGCAGGGCAGCCCATTTCTACTCCAACATGCCCAAAGAGGGCAAACCTTGCCGACCGCAAAAGAAACGTGTGCGCGGTGTCGGAGCTGGAGCGAGTACTCTGCTACAACCGTAAAGAAACCAGGAAGCAGAAGCAGAGCGGCAATCATAGTGAGCTTGTTGAG